TGGAGAAGGGGGTGGAGGTTGAAGGGGGGATGGTTTGATTTGCTTCTTGCTTCTGGGTAGCCTGGGTAGCGTGGCTACGGAGTTGGATTGGGAGAGGTGGTGGGCGGGACGGAGGGGAGGAGGAGAGGTTGGGGTCAGAGGCAAGGGAAGGAAGGACTCAGGAAAGAAAGGGTCGGGCTGGAAAATCGGTGGCTTAATGTGGTGGCTCCAAGGTGTCTACGGTGTCTATGGTTTATGATTGTCAATCAGTTTATTCTTGTATCTCTTCAGCACAAGCAGGCCATATCTACTGTTGAGAAATGCCGCTGCATACATCGTGATCGTCTGCCGTGACTTCGTAATATGGACATCCTCTTGCAACACCTCCAGGCAATCATGTCTAGCTATCCTTAGGACGACGCAACCCGCAACCCCCTCGGCTCCGCTCCAGCATCATGCTAATCCCACTGCGGCTGGGGGGCAACGAGAACGGAGTCAGCAAAGCCGGTCCCTCGTCCTCCTCGGCGCTGTCGTCCTCGGCATCAGAGTTCACGGAGATCTCATCGTCCGATATGGTCTCCAGTGTCACGCCAGAGGTCGGGGCCGTCGATGCAGTGCTAGGTGAGCTCTCAAACCGAGGAGACAGGTTCGTATTGGTGAGTAGCCCGCTAGATGCTGTCTGCATCGGGTCTGGAGGTGCTGGCGCGGACCGCGACCCGAAGCCGGAAACCCCCACAGACGCCGCAAGGAAGTGCTCCTGGCGGACACTGTCCGAGAACCGCTGCCGAAAGTTCTTGCCGACTAACTTGGCCGCGGATGGCTGGTAGTTCTCAGCTTCCAGGTGTCGGTAGTCATAGCGGCGAATAGCGCTTGGCACGAAGAAGTTCGGCTTGGGTGTGGGTGGCTTGACCAGAAAGTCGCCCCAGGGACGCTTTCGCGGTGGTGGTGAAGAAACTCTAGGTGGGTTGTCTGGGTTGAGCAGCTCCCTCAAGTCCTCAAGGAATGCTGCCGGAAGACTGCCCGGCTGGAATTGCTCTTCTTGGTGAGTGGCAGCTGTATCAGGTGTCTTTGACTGGGTATTAACGCTTTCACACAGCTCTTGGTTTGTATCCTTAGGGGATATAGCAACCTCTTGAGAAAGAATCAGAACGCATTCTCTATGCTAGCAAGTTACTGCCTACCTTCCACAGTCTCGGACACCTTGATCTCATTCTGCTTGGGTTGAATCTGAGAATAGTCGGTCAGTGGGGCAATTTCGGGAACGATAGAGACACCAGTGGTTTCCAACAGCGGCTGAGAGGAAGCACGCTGCATCGACTTCTGAGATTCGACAGGTCTCACACTCTCAGGAATGAAGTCGTCTTGCGGAGTCAAGAGGCAAGTAGAATCACCACTAGTACCAGATGACTGTTGCGATCCGCGCGGCTTCAGTACAGATCCACGAAGGCCTTCAGCATCCAGTGGGCCAGATTCCGGCGGAGTCACCTCAGAAACCGAGCTACTGGTGGTGCCAGACGACTGCTGAGAAGCTTTGCGCCGCATCAGCACTGGGCGAATCTCAGGGTAGTCCGTCATCAGTGGAGCAGGGTCCTGATTAGAACTGCCCGTGGTACCGTTGGAGTGCTGCGACGACTTGCGACGCATGATCACTGGTCGCCGTCTGGCCCCTCTAGCTTTCGCAGCCACGACAAAAGCCTTCTTCGGCGGAGCTCTTGTGGCAGGCTCTGGTACGATCAATGGAGTGGGGGGAATGGGTGTGGGTGTGTTAGAGGGTTTGCGGGTCGTGCTCTGACCATCCAGGCCAGTGAGCAGGATACGGGTAGTCTTGTGTGTTTCTCCGTGGGCGGAGTGACTGCTACTCGGCTTCTTCAGAATGGGTGGAAGTGGCCTGCCGCTGCCACTGCTAGGCTTGCGCGGCTTGTCTGCCTGGACTGCTCTCTTGTGGGCCTGAGGAAAGTTAGAACCAGAGAAACATGAGTACAGACCGTGTCAAGAACCATACCTTGTGCAGCTCAGATAAGGAAATCGAACGCTGGTCTGAGATCCTCGAGAACAAGTCGGCCAGCATGGAACCAGTCATAGACTGCAGCAGGCGCTTGCTGCCCCAAATCCTCCAAAAGAAGTTCTCAAGCCGGTATCCTTTGTCATCATTGTGCACTGACGGGTTGGCGCTGTAGGCTAGAGCACAGCCAAATAGAGTCAGCACAGTCCAATTCATGAAAGGAGAGAGAAGGTGCGGCGGCGCTCACCTCTCCACAAACGGGCAACATCTGCGACGTCCACTGAAGCTGCCCCCGTCAGGTCTGCAGAAACCTCTTTGGTCGCTGTTGACAACAAGCCTCTGGGAAGACGCTCCATTGTTTTCTTTCTGTCCGCTGAAACCGCCGAAAGACGGATCTAACAACCACAAGAGGATTGAAGCAGACAGGCTACATAGTATGAAGGAACAGCAGACCCGGGAGAAGAGAGAGAAGGTAAGTGAGGTAAGTGCGCGAGTGTTAGCAGGTGATGCTGTCAGTGTTGCGTGTGGCGGTGACGGTGAAATGGGGAAGGGAAGGGAGTCGAATCCGGGGGAGGCCCATCAATTCATCACTTCATTCCTTCACGCAGGGGTTTGTGTCTGGGGGCGTCAATGGATGGTCGGAACACTTGCCAGACCGATGGATGGATCAGCTGCAAGGGCAAGCCATACGAAACCCCGGAGATCTTCAGCCTGCAGCCTTAATCCAAGTACGGCGGACTCAGTACGTTACTACTAAAGTAGTCAGTTAACTGAGGATAAGTCAACACAACACCCACTCCGTCCGTAGTGGCAGTCAGTAAGTAATGGGCGGGGATCACCAGGCGCAGATGGCGCCGCCGCCTATTCCATTTCCCTCTTTTTCTTTTCCAGTGTCTTCTGTTCCTCCCTTCTACTCTCTGTCCAGCTGACCACTGCTCATTCCAATCGCCCTGCAGGCACTGATTCACTGCAGGCTGACTCCAACCCAGTTTTGTGTGCAGAACATCTGCAAGAAACTCGAAAACCGGGGGGCACTGGGGGGAAAGGATCAGAGCGGAACGAAAAGAGGCGGACAGTTCGGATTGACCTGTCATTTACTCAATCACTCCCCAAGCGCTTAGCGAAGGCAAGACTCGCCTTTTTCCTCTTCCTCCTTTCCCCTCCAGCCCGGTTGGCTGCCTTTTCCGCTCCCCTCGGAGCTTGCCGACAACCAACAAATCTGACAGATATCAGTGATATTAACTTAACTTATCTTTGTCTTCGTCATATGCTCGGCTCAAATTGACTCTCCTTCCCCCGTGACCATGACATTTTTCTTAGTGACTGACTGTGTCTTACTAAGATGTCGAGATCCTCTGTGAAACAAACCCCGAGACTCTTTCCTAAACCGCCTCCCCGCGCACTACCACTGTGCTGCTGTTCACTCCATTCTGGGGAGACGAGGAACTGCAGATTCCCCCGGTGGCTGTGCTGCATTCATCTGCTCCATTTCCCCGGGTTGGGGCGGATCGGGCACTTTTCATGCCTATGGAGAAGTAGCAGCAAAAGCAATGTCCTTGCCTCCCGATTACACAGTGCAACTTCTGAAGTTGGAAAGGCTACACAGTGCGTCTAAGCTCTTACCTTGTTGTGGGGCACGCCAACTATAGGCAATATCAGCCGAGTTGGGGCAAGCGATCATCGCTCCTCCGATGCACCAGGTCTCACCGCTAGCCTCATTGCTTGGATCTCACCTACCAATGTGCTGAAAGCCGAGGTCCAGAGGCTTCCACGTTGGAATGCTACAAGGTTGGATCCGGAGGTCTCCTGTCAATTGCCCAGCCTATGGGCATCAACCACTACCCGCAAAGCAGCAGCAGCAGCAAATAACTTCCCCAAAATGGTTCAGCTTGTCAGCCATACTACCCACGTGCTGTGCAATGTGGTGTCACCGACTGAACACCTCCCATATGTCAGGACCCTCCTGCCTTCTCTTCTTTTTGATGTGTTCGCAGTGAGTCAAAATCTGGACTCGTGATAGGAACTCAATACAAAGGAATTATTTCCAGCCACCACAAACCCAATGTATCTCGAGTAATACACTATTGCAGAAGCTGAGACATCGGCTGCACTGGTCACAACTGAGGTTCTGTAACATTGCAACAGGTAAACATGGATTTTAAACTCCATCCACCTGACACGCAGTCCATATATATATATACGTCCGTGGCTAATCAATTCCTCATGCGGTAGTCATTCCCATCGTCGCGTTCTGCCACTCGTTGCCATACTCGTCGACAATCCATTGACAGAAATCCTCCCATTGTTGGTTCCACACTTGCATATATTGCGCTTTGATGCCGGTGCCACGTTCTCCGAGATCGATGTCTCGGACCCAGTCGCCATCCGACTGGTCCTCGAAGTTGGCCCATCGAAGACTATTTTGAGCGAGGGCTCCCTAATTGCGCGGTGGCTGGTCAGATTGGAGTAGTAGAAGAGTATCCGGATTTGATACTCACCAGTCCAGCCAGTCCGATGTTGTCGAACCCTTGTATGGTTTGATAAAAGTCATAGCTTAGCCCGGCCGCATCTTGGCCAAGCATTGCGGGGTCGTCGTTGCTGATGGCAGTAGCAATGCCATGGGCAATCATCGCAGGCAACGGATGATGGAGAACATCGGTCGCAAGACGGAGAACCTCATTCGAGATAGGACAAACTTCGACCATGATCGAGTTGGTGATCACCTCGTCGATAAGTTGAGGATGCTTGTACAGACTGAACCCATGGCCGATCCGTCGGGTGTTGAACAAGATCGCATCAACCAGGTTGTAGTCGGTTGAGTTACCATCTCCAAGGGTCTCTCCAGCATGGAAGAAGAAAGGAATCGTGAGGTTCAATCGTTCGGCCTGTTCACGAAACCAGACCAATTCCGGAGCCACATCGGACAAAGGACGGCCAAGATCCTCCTGGCCCACCAAGTCATATCCGCTGATGAGCTCAGGGAACTTGGCCTTTCTCCCGAGAGCAACCTTCATGCCTAGTGACGTCAGCCTACCATCCCGGATACAAGGGACCGGCCAACCTACTGCTTGTGAGCGAAGCACGATCCTCGCTTCGGATGTCCGACCAGATCACACGGGCGCCCCAGAATTTCTTCCCTTTGTCGCTCTGCTTGAACTTCGACAGTTCCTCCACCATGACCTGCCAGTAGACATCGAGATTCGGGTCGGTATCCTCGTCACCTTGGTGGACCAGAATCCCCGAGGATGCGCTGGCACGAATTTCGACCCAGTTGATGCCGTCGTCGATCAGAGCTGCAAAGAGCTGCTGGTAGAATGTCCGTAAAATAGGCTCGTACGACATCATACTGTCAGCCGGCGTGAATGCAGCTTGGAAGATCCTCCAAATTTGGTCGACGCCAAGATCGTGCCGAATGGAATCCTCAGGCTGGAGCTCGAGCTTAGACAAGACGAAGTCGGCGAAAGCTTGGCTTCCCCCGGTAAATGACTGAGCGGCGTACTTAACCGGAAGCTGAGTGTTGGGCACGTAATCCGTGGAATCAATCGCCGGCCCTGAGGCGGCAATGGTATGGTTGACGTGGGCGAAGGTGAGGGTCGCGTTCTTCTGCTCGATTTCATTCGTGACCGGCTGCGACACGGTGACGACCATCCCCTCCGTCTTCATGACAGCATCGAGTAGAATCTCATACGGAAGCATCGAGGCCAGATGGGCATGCAGAAGAGCGCCCTTGGGCATCCGCTTCACGATCTTCCAGAGTTGTGTGTCGGGGATGAGCGGCTTGGCCTTGGGAAACATCTCGCCGGCAAACCTTTCCTTGTCTTCATCCTCTACCGTCCCTGGCACCCTCCAGAAACTCTCGATCTCATACTGACGGATCGCGTCGACAATTGCATCTGCCTGTCGAGCGACTGTAGAGAGGTTTTGCCGAAAGGCGTGATCTGCGCCCGCGTCAGTCTGGGGCAAGGGAGCATCAAACGATCTGGCTCACGCACCCTGTCGCTGTCGCTTCTCCAACGTGATCAATGCCGACCGATCCTGAAGGTGCTTCTGCACCGCACTGCTGTTTACATCTGGCGCCCCTTCAAACACAATTGCAGTGGAAACGGCCGAGACCGAAAGGGCCGCGACCAGGGTCTGGCAGAAATGCATGGCGAAGGAGAGAAAGTGGAAGGGGAGTGTCAATTCCAATTCCAATGCCTGGCGGTCCTCAGCAGGAAAAAGCAAAATCGTACGATCCTTTCTCCGACTGCGACAACAGGCAGCACACTAGAGCTTATATGTCCTCCGAATCCCGCGTTCAATTGATCACTCAGAGGCGGGGGTAGCAGTGGCAATCAACGCGCGGGGGCGATTCATCTAAGATATCCCAAATCAGGACCAGCAAGCATGACTAGCTTTCTCCCGAATCGATTTCAAAAGACCACGGACCCAATGCATGCGAGAGCGCCGATTCCACTCAGCCTTGGCGGTGGGCCTGAAAGATAACCCGGCGATGGAATGGAACCGGTGGACTTTAGACTCCGTCCGTTCCTGCTCGCTGTCGGTGCTATCAGCGCAAACTATCGCCAAGCTGCAGCCGCTAGTTTACAGCACCTTACAATTCTGGCTGGCACGAACAGCGCTGAGTCTACACAAGAGGAAGAACAAGCGCGTCAATGGCAGAGAAAACAAGAAAAAAATATCACCCCACAAGGAAATCAGGAAATAAAGGCAAAGACACCACTTCCACGACGAGTAAATCAGTTGGGGATTCCCATGGTTGAGACCCCAATCTATCAGGGACAGGGGGGACCCAGAACCCTAGCTTAGCCTGGGTGACCCTGGTTAGAATGCCTGGAAACTAACGAGTGGCTGGACCAACTGCGGAACGAAGCGGATCTTCTTCCCCTCAGGGAAGGAAAATCAGGGAACTCCCGCCAAGCCCCCAATCGATCTGCATGACCGTGACAACTCCTCGAGGGACAGGGACGACAACAAATAACCATAACTTCTGACTACGCAGCAATCCTACCCATGTGTCCCAGCACATGAAGGCATTCTCGAAATTACTTTACTCCTACATACGGGGTATGTGGACTGTGTTTGTGGCCGATCGCACTCTATGAAATGATTACGTCAATGGAGCCCCTGCTTCTGATCCACTGCTTACGTCTGGGTTCGGCATCGGACTCGGGATGGGGTCCCAGAATCAGCATTGCGCATGTATCAGACACTTTAACTATCTAGTAGCCACTGTACATGCTGGGATCTTAAGGCTGAGAGTACTATACTCTTGTGCACGCAGCACAGTGCCACGCGAATTCTACCATGACCACTCACTTCAGGACGCGTGTATCATCTCGTGGGAGCCCCAACGGAGACGACAAACTTTAAAAGCCATTGACTTCAACAAGGGTGCACGAGCGGCTTGGCTGGGATTGTGTAATGGAAAGAAACTCTCACCTCATGTCATCGATTCATTAAGACATCCGATTTAATTCATCGCTCCAGCATCCCCATTTTCACATTCACAACCAGAAAATTCACAACCCCGTACAATTACCATCAATCCGCTCCGAAGAAACCAGTTGCATCAGCACTCCATCCTCCGCAAACAACAACATATTGTCCGACCCCTGCTCAAACTTGGGCCAGTGGAATAAACTTTGGTTATTCGGGTTCAGCGCCGCCCCCTCGATGGCCAGCCGGGCCGGACCCCGGGCGGGATCCTCCGCAAAGGACAGCCATAGCGCCTCCATCGCGTAGCTGACGTCCCACTCGAACTGCGTGGAGGGGCCCCCGTACTGAAAGTGGGTGCCAAACAGGATCGGCAGCTCGGAGCTGTGGTAGGCGCCGAACCAGGGAAGGGGCGAGATGTTGGAGAAGTTGCCGGCGTACTGGTAGCGGTAGGTGGGGAGGTTGGCCAAGTTGCGGTTCTTGACCTCCTGGGCCACGGAGCAGGCGATGATCGATTCGGTGAGTTTGAAGAGGGTTGCGGCGCCGGGCCCGTTGGGCGTGAACGAGACGAAGCCGGCGCCTTCATTGGTGTTGCTGCCGATGATCATGGGCTGAATTTGCTGCGATTAGCTTGAGGTAACGGCGAGGAGGGACAGGAGGCATTGCAGCACTCACGATCTTGGCCACCTGGCCCTCGAGCGCCCGTTGGGTCCAATTTGCAAAGACGGTGACGTTGTCGACGGAGGGCTTGAAGGAGATGGAGGGTGTGCCGGAGTACGTGGACAGGGCGGTCTCCAGAGTTCGTGCGGGCACTTTACGTACGCAGCTGAGCTCGGCAGAGCTGTTCAGTCCACCGCAGCCGACGAGACCTGCCAAGAACGTAAAGTTGCTGTGGGTATAATCCGAGAAACCTACGATGCCAGGAGCACCAGAGTCGGCAGAGATTGCGGCCACTATGGGATCATCGGGGTAGGAGTAGGTGTAGAGCGAGACACTGCCTCCACCGGCGGACTGGCCCCAGAGCGTGATTCGATCAGGGTCTCCGCCAAAGTTGGCGATGTTGTCGTGTACCCACTCCACGCTAGATCATATCAGCTATCTCGCAGACCATCATGATCGCAGGGGTAAGTGACATACGCCAATCGCTGATCGAGCAGCCCCGCATTTTGATTCTCCAGCCCCTCAGCATTCGGAAATCCAAAGACATTGACACGATAGCTTTGATTGATTAGCCGCATCCTCCATCATACCACCAAACAAAAGGAGAAATACTTCATAATAACCACAATGTGTGCCTGGGTCCGTTGCACCCAGTTATCCGGGATCTTGTATAGGGAAGCCTGCCCTCCACTCGTGAACCCTCCTCCAGGGACATAGAGCAGCACCGGCAACGGGCGCTGCTGAGCGCGGATCTTCTCCACCGACGGAGCCCAGATGGAGAGGTAGAGGCAATCTTCCGAGTCCCCTCCGCTGATCAGAAACCCAGTCTCATACGCCGTGTAGATCGTAGAGCTGTTGCTAGTCTGTTGCATGCAGGAGGAGGGGAGTGCAAAAGCATTGACCGTGCCATTAGGCTGCTTCGGTACGGGTTTGGCGAACCGAAGGTCCCCTACTGGAGGCTCTGCAAATGGAACACCCAGGAATTGACGGACATCTGGGGTGGTGAGATTGACGAAGCCTTGAACTGGACCGCTGGAGGTCTGGACAAGAAGTCCTTCTTCCAGGGTTGAGCCTGGAGAGATGGGGGATGCAGATGATCCGGGGACTAGGTTCAGCAAGGCGATGAGCCCCGCAGCTCTTCGAAGGGTCTTTGAGAACATGATGATGATGGGCGATGGATAGGTATCACGGATTGAGCGAGGGGGGGAGCGGCCTTTTATGTCTCGACTCGCGCAACCCCTCTCATGGACCCGGGAGATTGAACGTGGCCCTCATCGCTTGGGGTTAACGGTCTGTTTAACAGCAAGAGGCACAGGGTGAAGGTTCTCCCGTCTAAGTTTTCGAAATGTCGGTCGGCTATAAGAAGCTAGGGCAAGTTGGTGGGATTTCACTGCGATTCTCTGAAATCAATGTCATTGTCCGCATTCTTTCGAATGGTACTCTGCTGGCCGCTGATGTAGGTTCAGTGCCTGGCTTGGCGGGCGTGCAGTAGCCATACGTCGTTCATTGGTATCGACGAATTCGTTGACCCGAGTAGACAACCAGGGTTGCTTTCAAGGATCCAGGAACAATGGCAGGGGTCAACAACAAAAACGCGGGGTGCATGGGAGGGGTAAGAATTCTGGTAGCTGTGGGGTAATCCGGGGGAGCCGGGGAAATATGTTGATCTGGATGAATGCAAAGCCCAGCTATGCAGCCGAGGTAGATGGTGTGGTCTTGTCTCCATCCCGGCTGAACCTTTTGCCCGCCCCCTCCAGGCCAAGACCTGACAACGAGCATGGGCCCTGCGACCTGAGCTACTGGCCCAAACCATGGCAAAGAATGAATGACCATTGCTTCCCCGGTGCAATGGCATTAATACCTCACTACAGCGCTTGTGGGGTGACGAAAACCACAGGATCGGACCATATATACAATTCAAGGCTCGAATCTCTTGCTACAAAGCGAGGCACTAAGCAGTCAGTGGCTTGACTTCGATTAGGGCGTGCTGAGTCTTACCTGATCTTAGTTGTTTTATCTCGCAGTTCCAAAGCCCTGGTCTTCGATATTTCCACATGAGGTTGTACTCGGCCCATCTGTCATGACAGGATGAATACATCGCGCGAAGGCTGTTCAGGCAGCACAACAACGCATGTTAAATAGGTCGATGAGTCGTTGGGGTCTGGGAAGCCGTTTCAAAACAATCTGGGGGGGGGCCAGGTGACCCACAGTTGACCGATGGTATGATTTTTCCGTGAGTTGAGCAACGGCTTCTGCTTAAGCGAGAATGTAGACGACGATGTTCAAATACATACAGTAACTTACTTGATTACACCTCGGATGACATAACCCGGCTAAGCACTCTTGGCAAACTGGCAAGCTTTCAAAAAGTCCCCTTTCGGGCCATCCTTCTCCCTGTGGTTAGACTCGGAGCCACCGAAGTCCAATCACCACCGGGTCAATGCAAGGAGATCTAAGCAGCTGCCCGGGTATTGCCCATTTGACTGATCCCGAGTTGCAAGCTGACCTGGCCCGATTCGAGACCAGAACTCATCGGATTATGTGTGGAAGGCCGAGTCGCATTGAAGATTGTCGGCCGAACTCATCCTGGTGCACAATTTGAGTCGACCACGACCACGAAGGATCCTTGGATGAGGTGGATGCCACCGCAACCGTCCTATGATCATTGCAGGTTGTCGCAGACTTTTCGATTTGCGCAGGCCCCCTTCCCCCCACCGTCAGACAGTCAGACAAAGACTGACCATGGCAAAGTGGATATTGGCTTCGGTCAACTTCCGCGCTCCCCATCGGAGAAATTCTGGGTCTTCCCCCACTCTGGGGTGCATTCTTTGCGGAGAACAAACAACTGGAGATGTCGAATCAGCCTGGCAATGACTAGAAGGAAGCCGACGCTTCAACCTCTCTGCTCACCGGAGTCTCGCCGGTTTGGCCACTTGGCCGATTGCTCGTTGGGAAGCGCATCCTGACTCTGCTTCCCCCCCATCCCACCAAACCCACTCTCTGGCCAGATGACGACCCAGCTTAGAAAAGTCCGGACACTTGTGTTCCGCGTTGCCGTTTCAGCAAACCCAATCCGAGGTGCAGGAAGTCAGTCAGCCATGACTCCTACCCAAGTCAGCCGACGAAGTACCGAAGGACGTGGGGTTGGAAATGTCTCAATCTGGGCGGGATGATGCTTGCGGGGATCAGCCCATAAGCAAGATAACAGACAGCTGCGTGTATCCGGAGGCTGCCTCAGGGGGTAGTCCTTGCTTCGTTCTTTTCACGTACTTAAATCCCCCGCTTCATCCTCTTCTCAAGGTCTCTTCCACTGCATAGCCCCTTCCTTGCTCTTAACACCGAAAAGCCGAGGTCAGGGCCAACCCGAGTCACAATGCAGGGACCAGCCCTCCGCTATGCCCAGATTTTCTTGGTATCGCTACCTTCCTTCGTTTTGTTTGGATACAATCAATCAGGCGTAGGTGGTCTGGATGATTTCACCTCCTGGATCCGACAGTTCCCCCAAATCGACACAGTAAACACAACCGGGACCCAGAAAAATCACAATGCCACCGTGCAAGGTGCAGTGGTAGCCTGCTACACAATCGGTGCTCTCATTGGAGCTCTTTCCTGTACTGCAGTGGGTGACGTCCTCGGCCGCCGGCGTACGATCTTCGTGGGAGCGCTGGTGGCCCTGATCGGGCAGGCCTTGGAGTGCACGGCGTTTGCTCTGTCGCAATTTGTCGTGGGCCGAGTGATCCTCGGCCTGGGCGTGGGCATGCTGAGCGCGACCGTGCCAGTCTGGCAGTCCGAATGCTCGCCTGCTGCGCAGCGTGGACGCAACGTGGTGCTGACGGGCATGTTCATCGCCCTGGGGTTCGCCCTGACGCAGTGGGTCAACTTCGGCTTCTACCACATGCAAGCGTCCTCGGCGGCCTGGCGCGTCTCGCTGGCCATCCCGTCCATCTTCTCCTTCATTGTCATGGGCAGCATCTTCTTTTTGCCGGAATCCCCCCGCTGGCTGGTCATGAAGAACCGGCCCGACCTGGCGCAGCGCACCCTCGCCGCCCTACGCGGCCAGGAGTTGGAATCCATCGAGGTCGTCGCCGAGCTGCGCGCCTTCGAAGTCTCCCTCGAGGAGACCTCCAACGGCAACCTGCGGCTGCGCGACATCTTCACCATGGGCGAGGAGAAGCTCTTCTACCGCTTCTGTCTGTGCATCATCCTGCAGTTCTTCCAGCAGATGAGCGGCGGCACGCTCATCTCCGTGTACATCCCGACGATCTTCGAGACCGACCTCGGCCTGGGCTCCAGCCTGTCCAAGATCCTCGCCGCCTGCGCCCTGACCTGGAAGTTTCTGTGCTGCTTCGTCGGGTTCGCCATCATCGACCGCATGGGCCGCCGCACCGCCTTCATGGTCAGCGGCGGCGGCATGTCGCTGTGCATGCTGGCTCTGGCCGTCTCGAACTCCTTCCAGAATAACCACACCGCCTCCATCGTCTCGGCCTTCTTCATCTTCTTGTACAACTTCTTCCTGCCCGTCGGCTTCCTGGGCGCCAACTTCCTCTACCCGGCCGAGGTGGCCCCTGCGCGGTTGCGCGTGGCGATGCAGTCGTTTGCCATTGCCAACCAGTGGTTATGGTATGTGCCGGTCCTCTCTCTACCCAGCCCAGTCTGTCATGCCGGAAAACTAACCCCGCGTAGGATGTTCGTCGTGGCGATGATCACCCCCGTCGCCGTCAGCGACATCGGCTACCGGTACTACATCGTCTACACCGTCATCGCGGGCATCATCCCGCCCGCCATCTACTTCTTCTACCCCGAGACCAAGAACCGGTCGCTCGAGGAGGTGGACGAGATCTTCCGCGACTCGCGCTCCATTTTCGAGGCCGTCTCGATGTCCAAGCGGAAGCCCGTGGGCGATCGGGTGGTCGAGCAGTTCATGGAGAAGGCTACGGTCGAGCAGGTGGAATAGTCGCCGTTGCCGCTAGAGCATAAAAGATAGAGTGCAGTGATGATGGGATGTCTGTATGGTCTCGATGCATAGATGGCTTTTCTGGATTTCGTTGCTTGCTCTTGCGTACGATACTCGTCCTCCCTTGTGTGGGTGGATGCGATAAGTGCTATTTCTACGCGCTTGCGTTCTTAGTGGTATCTAGACTTCCCATCGCTTGGATTCGTATCATACCTCTACCTGCCAGGTATGCTATGCCGTGCAACTGGAATCTTCCGAATGACATAATACAGCCATCCGTTGGGCATCCGCCTAGATTGTAACGAGACGATCAACATGTCAAGCAACGCAGAAGATTACCAGAAGTACAGTGACATCTCCCTCGCCCCATCCTCGAATTCACCCCACAATATCGCCGCCGCCACTGTTGATCCTCCCGTCCCTTCCGTCCCTCCCGTTCCTACAAGTCGAGTAGAACATACATCCCTGTACTTCCGTTGGAATCCGAATTGCCGGGGATCGACCTTGCAAGTACAATCGCAAATTGAGTTTGTACACAGTACATATGGATGTACATACAGCGGCCCCGACGGAATGGCAAATGACATCATATTATTTGGGGTGGAATTTCGGGCCCCCCCCGGGCCCCCCAATCTTGGGAATGCTGGGTTTTATCACAGCAATGAGTCAGTTAACTTTTGTTTAGAGCTTCGCACACCACAAGGAAAAAAGTGTCGTCATGATGCAGCTAGCTCAACCGGGTTCTGTAGCACTGACCCCCGCCCCGCCCCACTCCTTGATCAAGAAGAGAAAGCACACAACGCCTACATTCCACCGAGGGCTTGAGAATCATATCATTGAGTCCGGGTAGATACGCTAACAACAAAGTCCCGCCGCTAGATCTACCCTATGCAGGACGCAGGATGTACATCGTGTCTTATTAGTGAGTATGGTATTGGACCGGGACAGTACATATCAACATGAACTGGAAGGGTGGAAGATCAGGTCAAGGTGTAGCCGCCGTCGACCCGCAGATCGGCGCCGGTGATGTACCGGGAAGCGTCACTGAGGAGGAAGGTGACGGCGCCCATCAGATCCTCGGGGGTGCCCATCTTGCCCACGGGGATCAGGGAGATCCACTTATCGCGGAGCTCGGGGTTCTCGTCTAGGATCTTGCGCGTGCTGGTTGGGGGGGGACTGTTAGCATCTGGCGCTCCAGGAGGAGGCGGGGTAGGCTTACAGGGCCGTCAGCATGTACCCGGGGCTGATGCAGTTGACGCGAATGTCGTGGCCGGCCCATTCGACGGCGAGGGAGGCGGCGAGGTGGCGGACGGCGGCCTTGGCGGCGTTGTAGGGGGCCTGGGGCTGGGGCACGTTGACGATGGCCCCGGACATGCTGCCGATCATGACCATGCTCCCGGGGACCTTCCGCTCCATCAGGTGCTTGGCGACCCCCGTCGCGAACAGGTACGTGCCGTCGACGTTGACGCCCCACAGCTTCTGGATGCGGTCGTGCGGGTACGAGATCGCGTCGAAGTTCTCGGTGAACCCCGCCGAGGTCACCAGGTGGTCGATCTGGCCGTGCTGCGCGATCACCTCGGCGATGGCGCGGCTCACGGACTCCGGGTCCGAGACGTCGGAGTAGTGCGCCGTGACGGTGGGCATTCTACAGATGTCTCAGCGTGAGTCTGCGTCCAAGGTGGGAAGCACACAAGGAGTCCGTCCACGTACTGGTCCGCCTCCAAGCCCGGATTCTCTTTCTGGAACTGCTCCACCAGCTTCTTCGCCTGTTCTTCGGCCTCCTGCTCTGCGCACCCGGTCAGTATCCCAAGGGGATCAACGCCGCACATCCCGCGGGAAGACGTACTGTTCAGATCGACGATGGCGAGATCCGACCCCGACGCGACAATGGCCTGCGCCATGACCAGCCCCAGCCCGCGCGCACCCCCCGTCACCAGGGTGACCTTGTTCTCCAGCGAGAAGTTGGCCAGCGTGCGCTTGAAGTGCATCCCGCCGCGGCCCTGCACCACCGGCGACCGCGGCATGTGTTCGTCGTCCGGGTACTCGATCTTGACGTTCTCGTCCGTCCGCGCGTACTGGCCTTCGGCCTCCAGCGCGCCCCCGGGTGCCGTGGTGGTTGCCGCCAGGAGGGGGTCTTTCTTGCTGTGGGGGGAGTCCTTGCGGAGCGGAGCTGTGGAGGAGAGGGGGCGGAGGAATGCGGTGTTTAGGGCGGGGCGCGTGGATTGGCTGAGGGCCTTGGTGGCTGGTCGTATGACTGCGGGTCTGAACATTGTGGAGGGTGGAGGAGGGGAGTGGATAGAGGCTGTATCAATGCGGTTCGTGGTGGGTGGTGCAGGTTGTTGGGGGATGGGCAAGTATAAGTATAGGACGCCTTACGAGTAGGAGGTGCTGATACGCACGCCTTGACTTAGAGGGGAGATGCAGAGCCCGAAAGGCAAAAGACCAACCATTGGGGCAATGATTCCATCGAAGGCAAAACCAAGAGCGAATAATAATTCAACAAGTCAAAAGAAAAAGTCAGGGAGCCAAAAAGGAACCGGCATTGCCCCAAAGAAGATAAGGGAGTAAGTAGGCAGATAAAGGAGCCGGGGAATGAGGGTACGTATACTTCTTGTTGTTGTTGTTGTTGTTTATTGCGGTTGTTGCGGTGTGGCCCAGCCGACTGGATGGGTGGTTTTCCCTCCACATCTCCCCTTCCTGCCTTTCTTCTGGAATATTTCTTTTCTCGCAACTTTCAGTCGCAGGTGATGTCAGGCGGTGATGAGGCATCTCTGGGCCAGGCCTCAACCGCCATGCAGCGATCGGACCAGGATTGTGCTCTTCGCCTCCGCGTGACTTGGCCTAAGGTTGGCCTCAGACCGGCCTTCAGGACGATCCCCTGTCGACTTCAACTAGTCGGAAGTTTGGCATCCTCCGGACTAAACCTACGGTCGTCCTTCGTGTCCGACTGGTGACAGAGCAACTGATAGCTGTTGTCGGAGCGGTGACAGACAGCTTGAAGACAGTTGGGGTACTCTATCTGGCATCGACATCAATCATCGCCAAGGTCTCCGGTCTATCCTGCGCCAGCATAGTCGAAAACTAAAACGCGCCAAGCGACGACTGCTCAGAAATGCAGACCGAGTTCGGTTCCTTGGCTCCTGGTTTCATTCTTCATTCACCAGGCCACATGACCCAGCGCAGGGTCTCACAGACCGGGCGATCTATATCCTGTCTGTACATATCCGCTCCACAACTCCTTCCAGCCACCCCCCAGCCCCTTCTCGGCCCTTGCCAACCTAGTCTCGACCCAATGGACCCGGTCGATAATTAGGTACGATCTTCAACCGTCATCTCATGTTTTACCCCGGATCGCGAAACGTCGAGTAGAGCCCGGAGGTGCCATAATAATTTTACTGCGGAAACCAGCGGAGCGCCACCGAGCTACCCCCAACGACTTATGAATGAATGTATATTGCATGTACCACCGCAGCAGCTGTCGTCGCCACCCGCACGTACAGATACTGTCATTCATTGTCTGCGGCAAGCTGCAAGCTGCATGTCCATCCACCCATCCTGCCAACTCAAGTAGCCACCCTGCAGCGCACCAGATGACCGACAGCCGAAACCGCCCTGGCCAAAACATAAACACCAGACTGGTACCCTTACACTTTCGCCACTGGCTCGATCACCCCGTTCGATCATGAAGAAGAAAATATCGATCAATCGATCGATCATCGGTGACAACCTGTCAACGAGTGTCGTACTTTTATCAAACACTCTCCCCCCTTTGCATCGGGTAGAACTGAGCTTGGACAGACATGGTTTCAAACAGTAAGCAGCGGGCACCGCGTTAACCCCGGGGTCGAGGAGGGTGTGAGAAGTGGGGATCGGAATGGGGTCGGTCGGTCGGTCGGCCGGGCGCCACACAAGCCACGAGCCCCATCGGGATGCATCCATATTCCGTTCAAAACAGCTTGGACGGTGATCTCCAATGTCTCACTATCACGTATCCAACGCTTTCCTCCCTTTTTGTCAGTATGACAGCCACGAACGCAGTACTGCTCCTGTCGCCTGCTCCAAGGCGAATCCGGATGGATGCATGAGCTCTGCTGCGGGACGCGTGTTGTAACTCAATGCTCCGTGCAGGACCTTCGCAGCGGCGGCGATGGTTCGACGGGCGGCGTCTCCGCGCGTATGGCTTTCGCGCATATATGGATTGTGAGTGAGGAGAAGCAACGAAACGGTGAGCATGGGCACCAGATGATCTGTCATTCGTCCTCCCTCTACGCATGATTCATCTACATTTCGAGGTAAGTGTATGGCAGATGCATCCTTCGAACCAAGAACAAGAGATTTGCATTTGTAGATATACGTTGCACGCCTCGAAAATCAGCTACCCGATCACAAACCAGAAACTGCCCGCGAGACCGCTCAATGTCACCTTTTCGTAAATCTCACCGGTTGACCTGGGCCATGTCTACATTTCCGAAGCGTAAATATCGCTCGAAATCCATACTTCTCTGCTTCACTCACCGCCGCTCTCCTCGGCGAACTCGACCAGCGGTGTCCCGCTTTTACATTGATCCTGCAACATATCTGTTAGTCCTCTGACTGCGGCTGCTTTCCCTGGCAAGGCGAAACGAAACGAAACGAAACGAAACGGGGGACCGAAAAGGGTTGGGGAGGGGATAGAGCCCGGGCAGCGGTAGAGTCATCCGGAGAGCACGACACAATTGTACCACAGCCCCGCAAATGTAGAGAAATGGATGAGAACAAGCCCCGGCCAGTTCCAGTCTGGTAGATCTAGAACAATCCGCCGGGAAGGTTTGATGTTCTCATTCCGTGCGAAAGCCCAGATCAGGCGAGATGGCAATGCGAAACAATGACCGGGGAGGGATATAGATAGCAGAGCTCTGACTTACTCCTTTCTGATGGACCACTTTGGCAATGACACCCTTATGTGGGCTGCGGATGACCGTCTCCATCTTCATGCTCTCGATCACCACCAGCGGCTGATCCTTTTCGACCGTGTCGCCGGCGGCCACCTCCACGCGCAGCACTTTGCATGGCATCGGTGCGAGAACGCTGTTCTTGATGTCCTTCATGCCCAATGCTTTCTCCATCCATTTGGCTGGTGGGATGGTCAGGCGGTATTGCGTGCCCTTCTGGAAGGCGATGATGGTGTCGCCGTCGCGGATGACCGTGGTATCGAGGCGGGTGTGGGGGAAGAAGGAGGTGACGATGTTGGCATTCGAGTTGTCGTGGCTGACGACCTGTTCGAACACCACGCCTTGGACGGTGACGTTGTATGTGCGGTCGCCGGTTTGCTGGATGCGGACCTCGTGTCGCGAGTCATTCTTGGCGCCGGGTGTCAGATCTGCAAAGGATATCTGATGCACCTGGTAGCCGGGGCCGAATCCAATGCCCGAGCCCTCGAAGCCAGCCTGCACGCGAGACGCAAGGCTGGCATCCCGTTGCAGGCAGGCCAGCGCCACCTGGGCCAGCACCTCGGCATCAATGGTCTTCGCCGGAAACAATTCCGCGCGGTGCTTATCGATGTATCCAGTTTCCACGTCCCCGGAGATGAAATCAGAGCTGCGGCAGATGGTCTTCAAGAACTCGATGTTGGTGATCGGCCCCGCGATCTCGTACTCTTCGAGCGCGGCGGCGAGTTTGCGGATGGCTTCCTCTCGCGTGGCACCTCGCACGATGAGCTTGGCGATCATCGGGTCGTAGTGGGCGGATACTTCGTCGCCTGCGACAAAGCCTGCGTCAATGCGGACGTCCTCGGTCGCGGCGGGAGTGCGGACGTGCAGCAAGGTGCCGGAGTCGGGAATGAAGCCCTGGTCCGGGTTCTCGGCGTAGATGCGAGCCTCGATCGCGTGTCCACTGGTAGCCATGTAAGCCTCCACCTCGTCCTGGGTCAATGGCAATGGAGCGCCTTCGGCGACCTTGATCTGCCAATGCACCAGGTCCTGGCCGGTCACCATCTCCGTGACAGGGTGTTCGACCTGCAGTCTGGTGTTCATCTCCATGAAGAAGAACTCGCCGCTGTCGTTGTCAAAGATGAACTCGACCGTGCCCGCGCCCTCGTAGCCCACCGCCAGTGCGGCCGATCTCGCTTTCGCCCAGATGTCTTTCCTGGTCGCATCCGGGAGATGGGGAGCAGGGGACTCTTCCAGGATCTTCTGGTGTCGTCGCTGGATGCTGCAGTCGCGTTCCCCCAGGGCCACGCAGTTCCCATGCTTATCGGCGAAGACCTGGACTTCGATGTGACGAGGCGTGGTGATATACTTCTCCACGAGAACGTGATCATCCCCGAAGGAGCTCATGGCCTCCGACTTGGCGGACTGGAGCTGGGCCTGAAAGTCGGCTTTGGCGTGTGCGATGCGCATGCCCTTGCCGCCTCCGCCTTTGACTGCTTTGATCAGAACGGGGTACTTGATTCTGTCGGCTTCGGCCTCCAGGAAATCGGCGTCTTGGTTTTCGCCATGGTAACCGGGCACACACGGTACACCCGCAGCAGTCATGATATTTTTAGACTGACTGTTTGGAGTCAGTTGGTAGTCTGGGGGGAGGTGCAGGAGCCAGCCTACCTCTTGTCCCCCATATCCTCGATCGCTTTCCATGGCGGGCCAATGAAGACCAGCCCCGCTTCTGTGCATTTCCTCGCAAAGGCTGAGTTCTCGCTCAACTAGATGCTATGAGTTTTCAGGTGCCCATATCCCAGTACCAAGTAGGCACTCACAAAACCATATCCCGGGTGTATCCCTTGACAGCCCTCCCTCTTCGCGATCTCGATGATCCGGTCCCCGTCCAAGTAAGCCGAAACAGACCCGAGGTTATAGGCGAACGGCGAGCTCAAGGCATGTTGAGCTTTGCTGTCCGGATCTGTGTAGAGCGTCGTCACCCGGATACCATGCTGAGCGGCCGTGCGTCCGACTCGTCTGCGTGGGGGATCAGGTCAGTTCACAGCGAAAGCATAGATCAAGAACGGAAAAGGCACACAGTGCAATCTCTCCTCGATTCGCGATCAGAATCGAATCCAAGGACTTCTGAGTCGTCGAAGCTTCCGCGGGCAGGGTGGATGCTGCTCTTCTGGCTCTGCGCACCGCCGTCGGCCCTAGGCGGGATGTAGTGCGGAGAAGCGCCGAGAGGGTCATCACGAAGGACCAGAATAGAGGTTCGCAGGATGACAATCAACAAAGCTCCAGGGTGTTCGTCGCTAGTCGCATATTCTTGCTGTAAACCCAAGATCTCAAATCTGAAGTCGATCACATGTGTAGGTTAGCAACCCGCGAGCAGCACCCCCGGTTCTTGTAGATGCAACCCCCCTTGGGCCGACGCAAAGCGACGGGCTGCGGGGAAGCCCGCTGCACGTGACCGAGGACTCCACCGGCCGGGTTTTTTTCGAACTGAGACTGAAAGAAACGAAACCGGGTCAGCGGCCATTGCATTGCATCAGAGTCAGTCGTCAGCGTCTGTCTGCCTGTCCTCTCCCTCTCTCTCGAGTCTCCATTCGCGATCGACACTTACTCGGTCGCTAGCCTCCTTTGTTGTCTCTACACGCGCCCTCTCTCTCACTTTGGTTCATATCTTTGTTTATCTCATTCATTTTTTCTTAAATCTGTCTTTCCTGATCGGTATATACTCAGCACCGGAAACGAAATCAACACCAACCACGGAAAATCTGACGTGCAACTTTTCCTTCTGTCATCCTCCCATCTCAATCCACCACCACCGACAACTTTGCGGCCGAAGCAAAAAAAAAAAAAACCTCCGATTACACAACATTATCCCTCACTTCAACCTACATCTGGCATTTATAACACATACCCAGAACAAAAGGGGTTTGACACAATGTCCGACGACGAAGACTATTACGACGAATACGACGAGGATATCTTCTGGGTTGAGGAACCCGATCCCACCATTGCTGTATGTGAAACCACCTAGGACATTGACGCAGCCATCTCCCCCATCGCAACTTTACCCTCCCAATTCGCCCTCCAACCTTAACCAATTCCCCTCCCCTCACTGACATTTACCCTCAAAAAGGACGACCTAGCCGCAACCTCCACCAACGACGCCATCTTCTACGACCACCCCGCCCTCGAAGTCGAAGACTACTTCTCCGACTGGGACGACCTGTCGGACGACTACTACGACGAGGATCCGACCGCCGTGCGGCGCGCGCGCGCCTTGGGCCTGCTACCTCCCGGCGACGGCGGCCGCGGCCCTCATGACCAGCCGCACAGCCAGCACGGCCACCATCACCACCATGCTGCTGCCAAACACCAACACCAGCGTAAACTCAAACCGACCACGAAACGAACCCCGGTCTTCGATCTCGCAGCGTTTCAGGCCGTCGTCTGGAAATCTCCCCACCAGGAGAAGGAACAACAATCCGTGGTCGCGTTGCATGAGCCTGGCGAGGGGGAGAAGGTCGCGCTGCTGAAGAATTGGCGCGAGGTGTTTCGCAGTGCGAATCCGAGGATGACGGCTGCCGTTGGTGTTGTGGCGGGGAGTGGAAGGAAGGCTGCGCCGCTTTCGTCGCCGCCACCGCCGCCGCCGGAGCAGCAGCAGCAGCAACAAGGGCTGTGTTTGGGGGGGAGTAGTGCCGGGGTGGAGGAGAGGGGTAATGCGGAGGGGAGGGGAGTGGATGTTGTTGTTGATTCTACGGTGGAGGAGGTTGGGAATGCTACTGGGAAAGGTGTGGTCAATGCCGAGGGCTTTGTTGCGGCGGCGGGGTTAGTGATTGATGGAGGTGAGGTTGAGAATGGGGGTTCTTTTGAAGGAGGTGGTGAGACTGATGCTGATCCTGTCGCTGCTACCAACGGGTTGGCGGTGAATGGGGAGACGGCACATGGGTCCTCGCTCGATGAGTCGGTTGAGAAACCGCCAGCGCCCCGATCCAGGAAGCGCAAGGCCGATGATGTGGTCGACGACATCCCGGAAACTGCAGCAAAGACCCGAGCCAAGAGGGTCGCATCCTCCACGAAAGCCGGAAAGGCCAACAGCAGTAAAGATGTTCCCGTCCCTGCTGCTGCTGCTGCCGCCGCCGCCGCCGCTGCACCGTCGGCCCCTGTGCGCAGATCGGCGAGGAACAAATAACGGAACGCAATCCATCCCGAATGAGCGTTATGAGGTTATGACTTTCTTGATATTTGTGCAGTTTATACAGATTTGTTGAACCCGACATACTAATCAATCTCTGGTTCTATGCGTACTCCTTGTTGAATGCCCGTCCTATCACCATCCGCCGAATCTCACTCGTTCCCGCTCCGATCTCGTACAACTTCGCGTCTCGTAGCAACCGCCCCGCCGGAATCTCGTTGATGTATCCGTTGCCTCCCATGAGTTGAATGGCATCGAGCGCGCATTCTGTCGCTCGTTCCGCAGCATAGAGGATCGCCCCGGCGCAGTCCTGGGTGCGGATGACGGCTCCAGACGGAGAACCAGCCGAGTTATCGATCTGCCGGGCAGTCGCGTAGGTGTAGGCCCGCGATGCCGCAAGCTTGGTATGCATGTCGGCGAGCTTGCCTTGGATCAGCTGATTGTGAGCGATCGGCATCCCAAACTGTTTGCGGACGTGCGTGTAGGGCAACACGAGATCCAGCGCAGCCTGCATGATTCTGTATAGTCGTTAGCGCTGGGGCATACTCTCACAGTAAAGTCCATGCCAGACAGAAGACTTACCCCAGAGGCCCCGCACTGAGCACCAGGCGCTCCAGATCCAACCCCTCCATCAACACCTTCACGCCACGATTCACCTCGCCGAGAACATTCTCCTTCGGGACGAAGACATCCTCAAAAACAAGCTCTCCAGTGTTTGAGCCCCGCATGCCCAGCTTGTCAAGCTTCCGGGCGCAGGAGAACCCCTTGAAATCCTTCTCGACCACAAACGCGGTGATCCCTTTGGACCCCTTCTCCGGCTCCGTTTTGGCATAGACCACCACGTAGTCTGCATCTGGGCCCTGCGGTCGGTCAGCATGTCCCTGCGGCGGCAACCCAGTTGGGCGTGAGTTCTCACGTTCGTGATCCACATCTTCGTTCCGTTCAACACCCACCCCCCGTCCACGGCCTTGGCCGTTGTCTTCATACTCACGACATCGGACCCGGCCGAGTGCTCCGACATGGCTAGCGCGCCGACTTTGTCTCCCGAGAGCAACCCGGGGAGGAATCGTTCTTTCTGATCGGCGTTCCCGTTCAAGGAAAGTTGGTTGACGCAGAGTTGGGAATGGGCGGCGTATGAGAGAGCGATGCTTCCTATCCGCGAGCCCATCAGTGAGAATCACAATGTTTCCAGCCAGACGGAGAGAGGGACAAAGGCAGTTATACATACCAGATGCACGACTGATCTCCTCCATGACTATGCAGTGAGCCTGGTAGCCCATCCCGAGACCGCCATACTCTTCATTCGCCGTGATGCCCAAGAATCTGGTTCATAGATGGAGCTGGTAAGTATTCGCGCCGTACAGCAAAGGTTGCGAGCGGCCATACCCAGCATCGCCAAACTTCTTCCACATCTCCGCCGGGAACTCATTCTGGGCGTCGGTCCGCGCGGCCAGCTCCTCGGGAATTTCGCGCCCTTGATTCCGCGGTTGGTGGTCAGCACAGTTCACCTTGTCCCCCAGCGATTGCACGAGGCCAACTTACGGGTGAACTCCTGGACTCGCTCTCGTAGCTCGAGTAAATCGTCTTCCGTGGGAGGAACGAAGTCTTTCGAATGCTTGGTTGCTAGGGTGCGTAGTGCGGGGGGCTGAATGAGGGGATGGACTCGTCTGGGCAGAGTCCGGGAGGAAGTCCGGAGAAGACTGGGGAATCGGGGAAGGGCAGCCATGGTGAAGATCAATTGTCTCTCTGTGTATCTGTCTGGAATAGGTCCTCGTGAAGAAGTACCGAGCCTGCTGATTTATAACCGAAGGGAGAATCGAGAGAGGGGAGAGCCGCGGTGAATGCAACAACAGGGTAAACGCTGTCGATGTCACGGCGGCTAAACACGGCAAACCGCGCTGGGCTTCTCCGCATGTCACCTGCTCCCCTCCCTTGTCCCTTTCGCCGACTCCTCTTTTCTCCTTCTTTCCCTCTTCAAGCTTCGCCATTCCACTGAGATAAAGAGCGTACAGTATCTGCCGTTCACCATTTGGTCCTTGCCGAGCAGTATGCAATAGTATGGTCTTGTAATCGTCTACCAGTTGGCGTTCCTTGATCCCCGGTATCCGCACCTTCGTCTTCCCCAGCTTTTGCCCACTCCATCCCCGCAATGCGCGCTCCGTCTCCGCTTCTGCGGAGCCTGAGACCCAACACTGTCGCCCTGCCATATCGAAGACTACCACTGCGTCCATCCACAACCATAACCTCCCCTCGACTACTCTCAAGATCAATTGCCAACTATACACACCCCCATCATGCATCTGCTATATCCGTCCTACCCACCGCGGTCGACACCACATCGTCCGATTTCCAAGAAAACGCCCAACAGATGCAAGAACTCCTTGATCGAATGGCCAGTCTCCACGGCACGATCTCGCAAGGCGGGCCTCAAAAGGCCAAGGACAAACACCTAGCCAGGGGCAAGATGCTTCCTCGGGATCGAGTCAGCGCCCTCATCGACCCAGGCACATCCTTCCTCGAGCTCTCGCCGCTCGCCGGCCACGAGGTCTACGGAGAGGATGTGCCCGCCGGGGGAATCATCACGGGCATCGGCACCGTGGAAGGCGTGAACTGCATGATTGTCGCCAACGACAGCACGGTCAAGGGCGGCACCTACTACCCGATCACGGTGAAGAAGCATCTCCGGGCGCAGGCCATCGCGCAGGAGAACAAATTGCCGTGCATCTACCTGGTCGACTCGGGCGGTGCTAACCTGCCGCACCAGGCGGACGTCTTCCCGGACCGCGACCACTTCGGCCGCATCTTCTTCAACCAGGCCCGGATGAGCTCGCTGGGGATCCCGCAGATCGCCGTGGTCATGGGCCCCTGCACGGCCGGCGGCGCCTACGTGCCCGCCATGAGCGACGAGACGATCATCGTCGAGAACCAGGGCACCATCTTCCTGGCCGGCCCGCCGCTGGTCAAGGCCGCCACGGGCGAGGTCGTCTCCGCCGAGGACCTGGGCGGCGGGCACCTCCACAGCACGATCTCAGGGGTGACGGACTACCTCGCCGTCGACGACGCCCACGCCATCGTCCTAGCGCGACGATCCATCTCCAACCTGAACTATCCGCAAACCCATCTGCCGTCCACCCCGGGCAGTCTATCCAACGCCGCAGCAGCACCGACAGCAACAACCATCAAAGAACCCCTCTACGACCCCAGCGAGCTCAACGGCATCGTGGGCACCAACCTCCGCCGCCAGATCCCCGCTCACGAGGTCATCGCCCGGATCGTCGACGGCAGCGAGTTCGCCGAGTTCAAGCGTGACTACGGCACGACGCTGGTGACGGGCTTCGCGCGCATCTACGGCCACCAGGTGGGCATCGTCGCCAACAACGGCATCCTCTTCTCCGAGTCCTCCCTCAAGGGGGCGCACTTCATCGAGCTGTGTGCCCAGCGCGGCATCCCCCTGGTCTTCCTGCAGAACATCTCGGGCTTCATGGTCGGCGCCGATGCCGAGAAGGGCGGGATCGCGAAGAACGGCGCCAAGCTGGTGACGGCCGTCGCGTGCGCCGACGTGCCCAAGTTTACCGTGGTATTTGGCTCCAGTGCCGGAGCGGGGAACTATGGCATGTGGTGAGTATCCCCCCCTTTCTTCCCGGTATGAAACGAAGACTAACTGAAACACAGCGGCCGCGCCTACTCCCCAAGGTTCCTGTTCATGTGGCCTAACGCCAAGATCGGCGTCATGGGCTCCGAGCAACTATCCGCGGTGATGGAGGCCGTGGGCCGCTCCGCCGACCCGGACCTGAAGACGCGCATCGACCGCGAGTCCGAGGCGGTCTTCTCGTCGGCGCGCCTCTGGGACGACGGGGTGATCCCGCCCGCGCAGACCCGCCAGTTCCTGGGGTTGGGGCTGGCGGCCGCCATCGGGGGTAAGGTCGATGCCGATGTGCGGACGCGGTTTGGGGTGTTCCGGATGTAGTCACAACTGCATAAACACACAAAGATTAAGCATCAATTCCAACGAATGAGATTAGCCTCGAAGTTCCACGTCTGCTTTTCCGGAATGTAGCCTGCTTCGGGTTGGCTACTCCCGCAGTCTCCCAGTATGAACCAGTCTATCCTCCCCTATGAGCGGCAAATCCAGCGTATCCTTCAAGCGTCCAGATGTCTATCAAGTAGTGGTTCACCCCCTGTGGTTGCTGCGCCTCATCTTCGGTTCGGTTTTGACAGTGTCAAATACCCGCGGCGATGACATCACCCTCGGTTATGTAGTGTAATGGTTAGCACCCGGGATTTTGATTCCCGTAATCCCGGTTCGATCCCGGGCATGACCTACTTTCCTCAACTTCATTCTGGTCTTTCTCTGCTTTTGTTTCTCGTGACCTTGCTCTTTTGCTTCTGCTTTTTTGGGGGG